CACACACACACACACACACACACACACACACACACACACACACACACTCTCAGAGCCAGTCAGTTGCAGTCGATGATGTTTCAGGTGAGAGGTGATTTTATTTTGACTTCATTTCAAACTAAGCGTTGACGTTACATCAATGATGTTATTCTCCAATTGTTCTTATTTATGATTTGTACTTTTAATCATCATGTACGGCACTATAAATGATTTCAATACACTGTTTTACAAAACATCGTATGCTTATAGATGTTTTCGGGTTTAAATGATGACTTCTGAACAGAACTGATTTAAGTGTTTATCTTCTGAATGATGTAAACTAACTAACTAAAAGTAGAATATCTAATAATTGTGCAAAATTAAGTTTTCACATCTGAATCCAGAAGGTGTCCCTTTAAGAGAAGTTGAGTTGTATCCGTCTCTGGGTGTGAATTCTGAGAAGTGTCCTCTTATCACACTTATTCACACTTATTCACACATACACACGTAGCTGCTGTGAGGTCTGCATGTCATCAGTAATACAATTAACTAGTTTCTATGTTCAGTTCAGCATTTTACAGTAAAACCAGTTTGAAATCAAAAGAAACCCTGGAAGTTGATAAACTTGAAAAACATGAAAAACAAGTTTCTCTGGGCTGAATTTCCTGTTTATTACGTACAATGTTGCTAACCTGACTTCCTTTGTGTCTTTCTGCAGATCCTAAGATTCACATAAACACAACACACACACACACACACACACACACACACACACACACACACACACACAATCATGCACTGAAACACACTCAGTGTTAACAGGTGTGTGTGACATCATGTCTGACTGGTGGCCATTTTCCTCCTCCCCTCCTCCCATAATCCATCACTCATCTCCATCCCAGTCATCTCCCTTCACCTCCCCTCACCTTGTACCCCATACCCAGGTAACCTCCCCTCACCTTGTACCCCATACCCAGGTTACCTCCCCTCACCTTGTACCCCATACTCAGGTAACCTCCCCTCATTATGTACCTCATCCCCAGGTAACCTCCCCTCACCTTGCACCCCATACTCAGGTAACCTCCCCTCATTATGTACCTCATCCCCAGGTAACCTCCCCTCACCTTGCACCCCATACCCAGGTTACCTCCCCTCACCTTGCACCTCATACTCAGGTTACCTCCCCTCATTATGTACCCCATCCCCAGGTAACCTCCCCTCACCTTGTACCCCATACCCAGGTAACCTCCCCTCACCTTGTACCCCATACTCAGGTAACCTCCCCTCACCTTGTACCACATACCCAGGTAACCTCCTCTCACCTTGTACCCCATCCCCAGGTTACCTCCTCTCACCTTGCACCTCATACCCAGGTAACCTCCTCTCATTATGTACCTCATCCCCAGGTTACATCCCCTCACCTTGCACCTCATACCCAGGTTACCTCCTCTCACCTTGCACCCCATACCCAGGTAACCTCCCCTCATTATGTACCTCATCCCCAGGTTACCTCCTCTCACTTTGCACCCCATACCCAGGTAACCTCTCATTATGTACCTCATCCCCAGGTAACCTCCCCTCACCTTGTACCCCAGTCCCAAGAAACATCCCCACACCAGCACCACCTCTACAATCAAGGCCCGGGTTTAGATAATCCAGATTGGAGCAGAGCTCAACCACCTTCTGAACTTTCCTACCTGCTCAAGAGCTTCGGTTACCAGGTAAGACAGTCGCCCATTCTTTTCCAACAAAAAAAAACCGAACCAGAAATGTAGCTGATTATTGCCCACATCTGTGTCCAAAACAGAATCAGAGCACTGCCCACCTGGATCTCCAGAACCAGAACCAGTTCAGTACCGGTGTGACTCACCACCAAGATGAATGGGTGAACCCACACAGACTGCCCTACAACACTCACACACACCTCTCCAGTGGCATCTATGGACCGGGTAACCCGTCTGGTCCGGTTCAGGGCACCTGGAGGCCAACTCCACCCCAGCTGCAGTGCCTTCCACTGGGCCCCATGACTGGAGGAGTCGCTCTGGGGAGATGGAGCTCCATGGAGTTCAACTCACCATCCGCTGAAGACTTCTCCGGCACCCAGTTCTTCCATGACAGTTACCTTGATGACTATGCGCCCCAGCCCTTCTGCAGCCCCACCACCCCTGGTCCGAGTCCTCATTACCCACAAACCCCAACTTTCTCCAGCCCCGGTCCTCAAATGCATCCCAGTACAGAGAGACTAGATTTTAACATACAACAGCTGAGCAGAGATGAAACCCTCAGCTGTCTGCCCCACCCGCATCAGACATCCAGACACCTCCAGCAGAGCAGAAGTGAGCTGATCCAGGACCAGACAGGTGTCCTCGACACCACAGAGAGCTGTTTCTCTCCACATGGAGGAGGCCAGGACGTCAGCAGCGCTGCCCAGTCTCCAGGCCTCTCTGCTGGGCTGAGCTGGAGAGAGGAGAGTGGAGGAAGAGGAGGAAGAGGAAGAGGAGGAAGCAGAGGAGGAAGGAGAAGAGGAGGTGGAGATACACAAAAAGTAAACAAAGTTCTTAATTGCAATCATGTTAATTTGAAAATGAGTGAGTAAATAGACTAAAGAGAGTAAGGTAATACGTAAATAAGTAAGTACATGTGGTATAAGTACGTAAGCACATGAACAAGTTTGTAATTTGTGAGTAAGTGAGTAAGTGTGTTAATAAACAAGTGCATAAATAAGAGACAATATATTATACCATCAGTTGTTTGGACTTATTTTATTGTTAAATTGTATTTTTCAAATTGATTTAAATCGTTTCTGTTCATTTTCAGATGAAACGACCACAACCTGAAACCATCACCCAGGTTCTAAAGTCCAGGTAACCTGAATGACAATGAGACGATGATAACGATGATCAAATATGATCTATTCTAACGTGTGTGTGTGTGTGTGTGTGTGTGTGTGTGTGTGTGTGTTACAGGCTGCTGTGTACGGTGTGTAAACGTGATTTCAGGAGTCTGCCGGCATTGAACGGACACATGCGTTCCCACAGCGGCTCCAGATCAGCATCATGCTTGAACCCAGTGGTCCAACCCTCCGCCTCCATGGTGATGCCCGTCTCCGTGCCCGTCCAATCCGGAGGCCCGGCCAAGCCGTGTCACGGTGGACAGAGGGGGCGGTGCAGACACCCGTCTCCAACCACGGGAGGCGAAGCGCCGCTCTACCGCAGCCTGTTGCACCAAGAGGAAGAAGAGGATGAGGACGGTGGTAAGGCAGGTGATGACGGTGCACACTACACCCCTCCGCCCGTGCTGTGTCCCATCAGGGCGGGGCCGGGGTTGTACTGCTCCCTCGCCACCAGGGGGCAACAGAGAGTCCAGACTGTGAGGCTGAACAACAACAACAACAGTAAGTAAACACAAGTCCTGCTAGCGACACCAAGAGGCAGGCAGTGATGTTAAACTTTCTGTGTCTGATTGGCAGAAGGACTCGTGGTGACGGCCTCCCCTCCTGCCAGGACACTAATCAATAAGCCGTACGTAAAAAATTATTTAACAGCAAAAAAATGTTTTTCTCACAATGCTGATGATGCTTTTTCAACACTGAGCCTGTTAATCACAGGCGGATCAATGAAGGGCGGCGCTTCCAGGCGGAAATCCCGCCGCTGCGCGTTCGAAAAGATGCAGACTCCCACAATGCATTGCTGCTGTGGACGCCATGGGACGAGCTGGAGCATCCCGTCAGTCAACACAGAGGTGGGACAAACACACAAATGTTCTTGTTGTTATGATGATGATTAGCTTTGGACAATTTTTTGACTGACGCTTTGTTTGTCCAGTTGAAGCTCTGTTGACGATGGCTCGCTCCAACGTGGTGCCAGGGGGCGGGGCCAGCCCAGAGGTTGCCCTTGATGTCCTATCAGAGTGCAGAGGAGACTTCCTGGTAAAATCTCATTGGCTGTTGATCCAAACTGTGAGATGAGGATAGAATAGGGATCATTTAGGAAATAAGAAGTCAACAACTTTGGGTCTCTTAAAATCTTTTGGCTGGCATTTTCCACCTGCTTCCAGTCTTAATGCTAAGCTAGGCTAAGCATGTCCTCACATCAGCCCCAAGCTCAGACCAACAAGTCCCAAGTTAGGTCCCGAGTCAGATCCTGAGTAAAGACCCAAATAAAGTCGAAAGCATTGACCAGCATGTCCTGAATCAAGTCCAAATTCTAGTCTTCAGTCAAGACTAACAAGTCCCAAGTCAAGACCCAAGTAAAGTCCTTAGCCAAAACCAGCAAGACCTAGGTCAAGTAAAGACCAACAAGTCTCAAGGCGAGTCCTAAGTAAAGACCAACAAGTCCCAAGGCAAGACCCAAGGCAAGTCCCAAGGCAAGACCAACAAGTCCCAAGGCATATCCTGACTCAAGTCCAAAGTCAAGATCAATAACTTTAGACCAACAAGTCCCAAGCCAAGTGCAGGCAGCCCTAAGGCAGGATTAAGTTAAGTCCCAGGCTGAAACAAACAATTCCTAAGTCAAGTACCAGGTCAAGACCAACTAGTCCCAAATCAAGAGACTTATTAAAAACAAATAAGACATAACAGGTTTTTGTTGATCAAGTGTACGAGCTTCCTTTTTCACTTCAGTTTTCAAATCTAAAAATAGCCGCATTAGCACTGAGGTCTTTGTTTTTGCTCCTCCAGCTGGCGGTGGAGAAGCTGCTGTCACCGCCCGAGACCTCCGACAACAAGCACACAGCTCACCGGCATCCAGGTACATGCTCTGTTTAATGCCTGCAACCCATCAATGTTTCATGTCGTGGAAACAAAGTGGATCTACTCCTGATTCTAAATGTGTTACAGTCGTCAGCTGGAGCACAGCAGAGAGGAGGTTGCTGGTTAAATCCCTGCAGCGTCACCAGAAAGACTTCAGCAGAATCCAGAAAACCGTGAGTTCAGACATGAACAACAACAGCTCAAGTGTGTAACACTGTGTGTGTAATCTCCTGTTACTGTGTGTTCAGGTTCAGACTAAGTCACTTTCTCAGTGTGTGGAGTTCTACTATCTGTGGAAGAGGAAGCTGAGTCTGAGCGCGAGGACCCCGGCTGGGCTGACCGTCTCTCTGCCCGACACGAATGTAAGAAAAAACAGAACTTTATTTTTAAGTTAACTTCAGTTAAAAAACTGATCTTAACTCAAGTGAGGCTCAATCAGAGGTGGAAAGTAACTAAGTACATAAAAAACACAAAAGTACTGCACGTAAGTGCAATTTTGAGGTACTTGAACTTTTCTTGATTATTTCCATTTCATGCAACTTTGTACTTCTAAAAGGTAAGTATTATACATTTGTAGTTACTTTACACATAAAGATCATTAATATAACATATAATCAACTAATAAATGATGATGCATTATTATAGATTCGACTATCTGCAGTATATAAAGTCATTAAATAACTCCACCTTTACCAGCTTTAAAACATGAATGCATCAATAAATAGAATCCAGTAATAATATATATATATATATATATATATATATATCTGATAATAATATATATATTATATATATATATATATAATATATATATATATATATATAT